TCATCGCGACCCTAAAGGACAGGGTCGCACTGCCCCCGTGGGTTTCTGAGACTGTGATTTTTTACAGGAGTAGAAAGCCTCATCTCTTTTCCCAAGGAGCAGCTGTCGGTTTCAAACTGCAGACCTTGTGGTTAGTAGCCCAATGCATAACCACTATGCCACCCAGGCTTCAAGGACCCGGTATAATGGGTGTTAATTTCCTTATTTTGCTGATAGAAAACCCAAGGCTCAGAGAAAGGAAGCTACTGACCTAGGTTCACACAGTTAACAAAATAGCATGGGGTTTGCCATCCGACCACTTAAATTAGAATACTGTTTTCACCTGTGTGCTAAAAGCCACACTATTTAACCTTTGGGCCTCAGTTTTGTTTTTAAAAAATCTGTTAAATGGGTACAGGAATGCACCTCAGCTCACAGAGTGAAGTTCAGTGACATGAACAATATAGATTATTAACCGGTGCTGTGCCATCAGGAACCTTGGTGGCACGGTAGGTAAAGTGCTTGACTGCTAAAATCCAGTGGTTCGAACCGACCAGCTGCTCCCTGGAAGAAAGAAGTGGCAGTCAGCTGCTATAAAAGTGGACAGCCTTGGAAACATGGTGGGACAGTTTGTATATCAGGCCACTGTGATTCGGAATTGACTGAATTTCGTTTGATGCTAAGTACTCAATACCTGTTAGCAGCTGCCATTGCTACTGAGAGCTTGGCTTTTGTTTACTCAGCTTTTATGTACGAGAGTCAAGCCAGAGTGGTGTCCAGGTCTGACAGAACTGCAAAACCTTCTAGAATTGGACCCCCTAGTTGGGTTCATCTTATGGGATGTAAGGCCACTCCGAAATGAGGCACTCCCTGTGGCCATCAAGACCCCTCTCATTTCTCTCTCCTTCCCTGCTGTGCCCCCGCCTCCTGACCTTCCCCCCCCTGCCAGCTGCCCCCATCCCTGCTACCAAGATTGACAGAGAGATTCCTAGGTGAGGAAACCTGTCTTGACTTGCTAGGCAATGGCTGTGTTAAAAACCCGAGCTCCCAGGTGGGGGGGAGAGAGAGACCCACACTTCGGGGCTGCCCTCCTGGGGGGCTGGGGGGAAGTTTGGAGTCGGTTTGGCTGTTGATGCTTGCAAAGCTGTGGACAACAGCAGCTGCCTTGCTGGCCTGGGCCACCCACCCCTCCAGGTATGCCCGTCCTTTTTGCCTGCGGAGCTGGGGGTTTCGATGGTCTTCTAGCCAATCAATAATGGTTATGTGCTCTTTTCTCCTCTTCTAGACCAAAACGGCAGCGGCAGAACAACTTTCCCATGTTCCCTGCCCCTAGAGCCTGGAATTTCAGAGCGGTGAGTATTTGCCCTGGGAACCCCTATGGGTAGATGTCTGCTCGGGTGCGTGCGCTGGCGTCCAGAGATGCTGCTTCCCGCGACATTGGCAGCACCTGCCTACGCCTCCACCAGGAAAATGCCCGAGCTTTGCCACGTGGGGGGACTCCGGCTGGCATCAGCAGCTGTGCGTTAGCTCGTGATCAAAGCAGCCCAGCAAGCCCTTGCTTTGTTGCCTGAGGTGCTTAGGTGGTGCAAACGGTTTGCAATCAACTATTAACCTAAAAGGTTAGCTGTTCGAACCCCTCCAGTGGCTCCAGGTAAGACAAACCTTCTGAAAACATTTCAAACAAGAAGACCCCTTGGAGTTGTTTTCCTGTATAGCACAGGACATCCACATGAGCCAGAATTGACCTACAGGATTGGGTTTGGTCGTTTGGGGAAGCTTGCCTGACCTGCAAGCCATGGACGACGGGAAACACCATGTGAAGAAGCAGAAGTGTTGGGGTAAATGAGGCTAGCATGTGGCTGGTCTGTGTTTGTTTGCTTTTGAACCTGGAGGGAACTGATGTCCAATGAAAGAAAAAAATCAGGAATACACCATCTGTTCATATGCACATTTTTACTTTTTCAAGGAGTTCTATTTTCTAGGATAAGTCTACAAGCTTTTAATAGATTTTAAAGGGATTCATAAAATTCTTCCAATCACAAAGCAGTAGACTTTCAGAGATGTAGGATCAGACAGGTCCACCCTTCTGGGCCAAGTGATCTGTCTTGGCAGACTAGTGATGGAAACAATATGGAAGGGCCTACCTTGTCCTGAAATGGATTCTAGCACCAACCTTGGGAATATGACTCTGGAATTTGTTGGGAATGCTCTGGGCTCCATTTTATCTCCAGGATGTTGCATGTGTTGTTCCTCTGACCTAGACCACAGTTCCTTTTCCAGCACCATACTCCTAGCACACTGCACCTGGGCACCTACTCCTCCCGGGGAAGCCGTGATGCTCTGCCAGCGCTGTCAGGTGGAGAGGTTCCTTTGTAGTTTTCATTATTGCACTTAATGAGTTTTAAGATGGGAAAGCTCAGGCATCAGTGATCTGGGACCTGGTCACTGTCTTGGTTGTTGCCACGTCTTTGGGTCAAGCACAGGACTTGGCTCAGAAATGCTTCATATTTGTTGAATAGATGGATGGATGGATGAATGCCTATCGTTCACGTCCATATGACCCCCAATCTGCATGCTGCCTTTAGATTGGGTTTCAAGTCTTCTAACACCATTCTTATTGATCCGGTTTATATTTTAATATCTTAAACTCAGTCATTCTCCCGAGTATCTGACTGAAAGCCACCGTGGCAATGTTTAGTGACGGTGGCACTGTGGTTTCCCTGGACACAAGGAGACATGTGTAGCCAAAAGTCAGAGTACATTGAGGACGATCACCCACCCCAGCTTGCTGTAGGTGGACCCTCATTTTAACATTGAAAGTTTCACAGCTTGGGGCACCCCTCCGTTCTGAGCAAACTGGGATGGCTGGTCACAGTTCCTGTGGCCCTGATGACTTTCAGCTGTTTCCTCTTTAAAAACGACTTTGAGAATTTTTTCGCCCAACTCTGGTTTGTAGCGTTTGCAATGCAGAGGAAACCTGCTAGATATAAACTTGGGTAAGTGGCCCTCTGTGAGCATCCTCCATGCCCAGTTTCTCACCAGGGTAGCATTTAAAGCTAGCAAGTCACCACAGGGAAAAAACAAAACAAAATGAAAAGCTGCCCCTTGCAAATTACCACCAAGTCGGTGCCGGAGTGAGATACAAGCAGATGTCAGACTGTCGACCAGCTTCACGGGGTTTTCCCAAGATTGAACATGGTTCCAGTGAATCGGATCTTTAGGCGGTTAGGTCAGGTGTGGTGTTTTCGTGGTCTGCTGTTTTTGCTTTGATGTATTCTCAAAACAAAACAAAACCCCTCCAAACTTACTGCCACTGAGTCAGTGCTGACTCATAGCGACCCCTGTGGGTTTCCAAGACTATAACCATTTACACTTCAGGATTAGAAACTCCAGTCTTTCTACCTTGGAGTGGGTGGTGATTTCGAACAGCCAACCATGCAGATCGCAGCCCAATGCATAACCACTGCACCAGCGGGCTTCCTAGAGGTCCTGAGTTTTATCAGTGTCATCCTATGGATTGCATTGTGTCCCTCAAATGACAGAATGAATTCTTAGGCTCTGTTCCATTTGCCAATTCAATCATTTCCACCTGCATGTGTTAGTGACTCGGATTCTGTTCATCGTGCTGTGCAGCTACCACCATTAGGAGAAGCTCAGGGCCCCTGAGCAATGACTCTCCTTTTCCCCACCCCTTGTAAGCACTAGTGAGCTGTGGTCTTTAACCATTTGCCAATGCAATCGGGCTTGTGAAGGTTAACATGAGGTCATTGTGGAATCAGGTGGGTCCTGATAGTGCAGGACCTTGCTTATAAAGAGGAATGCAGACATGCAGAGATAGAAACAGGGAAATGACCCCATGTGAAAGTGTGTTTAAAGCCAACATTTGCCCAGATCCACCAGAGGGGCACATGCGGGGCATGACCAGTTCCTGTCAGAACCCTCCTGTGGCATCAACATGGCTGCCATGCTGATCTGGTGCACAGTTAGGCAAACATACACCAGGATGTACCAGAAGGAGACCGGGTAAGGCGAGGCAAATTGCCATGTTCCCCTCTGGCCATACCCCCCTCTCTCCACCTTGTAGTGTAGTCTTCAGGGACATGGTGGGGGAGGAAGAGAATCCAGCTAAGTGGACACCCCATTGCTCCCAGCCTGGGGGGCCTTGTAGCCACCATTTCGGTCATTGAAATCAAGGGACCAGAAGGACTCAGAGAGCCAGCATGAAGATGTTTCGGGCATTCGCTGTCTGATTAGTTTTCTTGGATGGAATGTGACCCACGGGCCTGTTAAGCCTGAGCTCTGGCTGCATGTCTCGAGACAGCCATGTGCTTTGTGAAGGTCTTCGTTTCCCTTATTTGGAAAGAGGGGTCTTTGTGTCTCGTGTGCTAGAAAGTGTTCATGCCTATATACGAGGGGCGTCCAAAGGGGTATAAGGCGGACGGTGTCAAGGAGTCCCGGAAGAAAAAAAATGTGTGGAAACTCGATGGGCTTGAACTATGGAGTGATATATGTGTTACCTCCCAATTAATAAGAATTTTAAAAGCCTGTATTTTTTAATTCCATTTTTTTCCGGGAACTTTTTCGAGCGCCACCCCCACCCCCTTGACAAAAAAGACCATTGTATTGTAAACATTTGTCGTTCCATCAGCATTTTACGACCTTGCCCTTTCCTTGAATGTGGAAAGAAAAAGCACCCTATTTTAGTTCACTCGGGTGCTGGACATTTTTGGTGAGTGCAGGGCTGTCCCTCCCTCACTGCCAGCGAGTTGATTCTGATTCACAGCGACCCTAAGAATCCCGGTGGCATCGTGGTTACCCATTGGGCTGCCAACCACAAGGTCCACAGTTCAAAACCACCAGCTGCTCCATAGAAAAGGATAGGAGACTTTCTACTCCCATGAAGAGTTAAGTCTTGGAAACCCACAGGGTCAACTCCACCTGTCCTTACAGGATTGCTGTGAGACGGGGTGTCTGTAGGTGTTCACACTGGCTTTTTTTTTTCTTCCCGCAAACTGTTAATGAGCTCAGCATTTCATGGAAAGGTTAGAGGTTCGGGTCCTTCTAGGTGTACCCTAGAAAAAAAGCCTGGGCATCTACATCTGAAAAATCAGCCATTGAAACCCTCTGGGGCATGTTTCTGCCGACACACGTGAGGTCACCACGGATTAATTTTGTGGGTGCAGTGGGGTGACTTCAAGGACTTCAGAAGGCAGGAGGAGAAGAGGCCAGAGTGGGAATGTGTGAGGACAAGGCCTGGTGGCTGAGCTACCCGTGGCCCTGGGGGGGAGAGGGAGCCATGGACATTTGGGGGAGAGGCTTCAAAAGGATTTGAAAGTGTTACTGAATGAATGAATTGTATTGTAAGCCCTCTCTATACCCTCTGCAAACCTCCAGGGAAGACCTATGTTCCTCCCCAAGGCACATTTGTGTTTTGAGGGACTCTTCCCACCCCTTCCTCCCCTTCTCTGGAGCTGTACACTGGAGAGGGGTCTGGGCAGGGTTGGAGATATCCGGCTCCCACGTCCTGCCACCTCCCAGTGGCTCAGCCCTTTCCCATCAGCATTCACTGTAGGCTCTTTTTGTGCCTGACCCTCAACCCACCTCATTCCTGTGCTTTAAGGAGCCGGAGGCCCAGTGGTGTTAGGCAAAGACTGGTCTTTGCCAGTCTCTCGCCAGACCCGTGGGTGCTGAAGACACGATTGTGGAAGGAGGCTGAGAGGAAGGCTTCGGCTGGAGCCTCGTGGTAGGAATGTTGCAAATAAAACCGGAACAGGACGGGAGGGTTGAGAAGGGCGAGGGAGGCAGAGCCCAGGGCGCCTTGCTCGTAGGTGGCTTCTCTCTCCGGGGCTCCTTGCACATCTGTTCCCAACTCGATTGGGCCGTGCTGAGCTCGGAGTTTCCTCCCTTGTCAAAACATCTGCTGTTGCTCCTTTAGTTATCTGAGATGGGGAGGGTTGGAGGGAGAAAGAGAGGTTGACCCATTTCCTACTACTCCCCAGATTTAATTGGAAAAGTTTTGATCCTCTCTATTTTCTGTAAAAATAACTTGCCTCCATTTGTAACTGCAATTAGGAACGCAGCGGTGGTAACGGCATTGTAACCCCAGTCAACTCCCCCCTAGCACTCAATTATGGCTATATGAGACACTTGCTGTGTTAAGCGCTCTTTAAAAATATTTTTACTTCCCTGGACGATCCCAACAGGTGTAGATATTGCTTGAGCCTCAGTCTCACTTTACAGGTAAAGAAACAAGGTTTGTTAGTTTTCTTTAGCCACAGAAACACTTCCACTCAGGGCCTAACAAGACCGCAGTCCACGTACCCACAGGCTGAGGGTCCCCCCTGAGCCCCCA